TGTAAGAATTTTTCAGGATATTGACCTTAGAGAATCCTTTAGATGTATCCTAAAGCAACACAAAGTAAGGTTGTGCAAACCAACATTTTTAAAGAAAAAAAATCTATCTATAAAAAATAGAATGATAAAGTATATATACCTGCAGTAGAATAGTATAGTGGTTCAAACAAAGGAGCTGGATCTACATGTAACAACAGAATTCATTTTAAAGAAATAATGCTGATTATAAATAGCCATATAACAAAAGAATACATAGAGTATGATGCAGATACATTTAATATTTTAAACAATACAGATCCATACCAGGGGCTGGCAAAATTTTTCTGTAAAGGACTAGGTAGTATTTTGCACTCTTTGCATTTCTATTTCAGCTCGTCAGCTCTGCCATTGTTGGACAAAAGCAGCCACAGGAGATACAGAATCAAACAAAGGTTTATTTGCAAAACTTCACAATATTTTAAATATGTATTCAGAAACAAAATAATAAAGCAACTATGGTAAAATGCTAGTATTTGTTAAATTTGACTTGATGGGTATACATGTTTGTTACACTATTTTTATGAGTACAAATGTGTAATACTGAAAAAGCAAGGTACAATAAATACATTAAACTGTGAATCTGTACAAGGGAAAGCAAGTCTCTGCAAGTATTTCATTTCTTCCAGAAGATGCTGTCTTTGTCTGTATTCCCCTTTTAGACAGAATTTTCTCCAATAGGAGAACTTTCTCTCTGCTCTCAGAACTGGGAACAGTTATTGTGTAGTATTTAGATCAGGAGCAACTGTGAATCATGTTATGATTGAATCTTCCTCTTCACAATTTTAAAGCAAATTTGAGCTGAGTTTGTAACTTGATCTATTAGAACTCCAAGACTTTTTAGGCTTACATTTTATGGCTGACTTCTTCCCTTTCTCCACTTTATCATTTCTGATTTCTCCTATACTTGACTTTCTTCGTCCTCATATGGTAGTGGTAAAGTGTTCCAATTTCAGAGGTAAACACATGTTCCAAATCTGAGGCATGCCCAATAGTAGCTCTGTGATTTTCTGCCATTTATTGAATATGTCTGCCTCACTTTTTTCATCTGTAAAATTGAGTGGTGATAATAGAATTTATCTCATAGGGTGGTTTATGAGAGTTAAATGAGTTACTTATTTGCAAAATTCTTAAACAGTGCCTCGTCTGTAGTAAATACTGTTAGTATTGAATATAAAATATTTAAGTGTATTTATTTATCTGATTTATCTAAGCCAACTTATGTATCAACCATACTTAAATTTTCTAAAACAAAATGATGGTGAACACTGTATTATGTATAGAATATAAAGTAGAACATATAATCAAATGTAAAATATAATATGTAATTGTGAAGTATATAACTACATATAAGGTATATTAAATGCTTTAAAACTTTGAATCCTAACCTATAAAATAAGGATGATAACCACTTACTGTCTAGAAAAATGTTATAAGAGTTGGTTAAGTTAGTGGATACAAGAACCTTATCGAGAGTGTAGAAAACATTCAAGCAATGGCTATGAGAATATCTGACAACTGTGCAACAGTTGTTAGTGGTATTAAGCAAACACATGAAATCCTGTACCACAAACATCAGAACTTGAATAGCTTTAGAAATAAAAAACATATGCTTACTTTGTGATGGGGTAGGAAAAACCTCTGTTGATGTCAAGACTGGTGTCTTAGTACCAGCTCCAGCATCTATGGGGAGATGCCACTATGGAAGGAATCTCACAGCTGTAATGGGAGGGATTAAACTCCAGCAGAAGTCCATGGAATTTAATATTAATGGTCATCTTCTCTAATCAGGACCTCTGTTGTCCCCTTCATCAGGAGAGAGTGATTGTAAGGCAGAAAATTTCCCAAAAGAAGATTCGGAGATTAAATGGCAGGGGTTGTACGAAGTGGAGTGACAATCAGAACTTTGTTTCTGAAAGTAGAAAAGCAAATCCTTGAGAATAAATAAAAATCTGTCCTTAATAAACAAAGCTCAGCACTGGCTGTATAAAAACTTTGCCCCTGTAAGCTCTGTCTACCCTGCAGCCAAGCATATTTCATAATCTCATGATGAGTTGTAGCTGCTTTAAGTTGATCTAAAGCTAACTCTTAAGCCATATTGCTCTTAAGACAGCCCCAAGGTCTTTCTGGTTATGCAAGCCCTGTTACACAGAATAATTTCTTTATTTGCTTGATAAAGGGTGAAACAAAGACTGGAATAATGCTTTCTAAACCTAAACTTCTAACATCTTGTCACTCAAAGGCTGTTCCTGGCCCAGCAGTGTACTCAAATTTTAATGTGTATAAAAAACAAGGATTTCCTGAAAAACTGCAGATTCTGGTGTAGAGTCTGAAATCACACATTTCTAAAAAACATTTAGACAATGTTGCATGTCTACCCTAAAATGCTGTTACTCATTGTATGGTTCAGCATAGATCTCACCTGAGGACTTCCAGGACATACAGAATCTTTATCTCCTCTCTAGACCTCAGTCAGCATCTGCATTTTAGCAAGATTGTCAGTGATTCCTGTGCATGTCAAAATTTGAGAAGCACTGATCTAGAACATATGCAGACTAATTTTTGCAAGGTTTTGATGTATATTCTCTATTTGCCCAAGGTGGCTACTTCCTGTAGCCAAAGCTCTTGAAATACAGTACAAATTGTCAGTCTGTAGTGGACCCTAGCAATGCTCCACTCATATTGTCTCCAGTTTCTTTTACATTTTCATACATTATAGCCAAGCAGGCTCTGGCTCCCAATAGCCAGTCCCATGTCTCTTCACCGGCTCTTCCCTCTCCATGACAGAACCCTTTATACCTGTTAGTAAGGAGAGTAGGAGATGCCTAGGCTTTTCCATCCCCTTCCAGCTATGTATAACTAAGACTAACAGAGCAGGCACAGGGGTCTTCATACTCCAGCACGCTCACTCATGGTACCAGGGAATTCAGTGCAAGGTCAGCTGGCTCCAAGGTAGAAACACCGTGGTGGAAGGGCATAGTGCAGTAAAGATGCTTAGTTTATGCTAGTAGACATACAAAGCAGAAAAAACAGTGCCAGAGAGGAAAAGGAAAGGAACCAGATATGTATCCCAAGATCACACCTCTGTGATCTACCCAGATACAACCAGAAGGGTACTGTACTAAAGTACTAGGTGTACTTTACCAAAGTACTAAATATACTAAGTGTACTATACTAGGTGTTTCTTAATCTAGTCAAGATAATATATCATAATTAAGGATCACATCTGCATAATTTACAACATAGACTTGGCTCTCCTCACCTTCTATCCTTTATTTTTAAAGACTTTAGTCATATCACATTTTTTGCTCATTTATCTGTAAGCACCTATGTAGATGCTAAGTACCCTTCACACTCTGACTTCAACTTTACTTTTTAATTGCAGCTTGTCCTTTCTTTTCTACTTTCTTTTGGATTAATTCATGTTCCTTCTAATTTCTAACATTTTTGGTCACCTCTGGTTCTTTTCCCAATTTTTACTGCTAAAAAACGTTCTTTCCTTTCCCATTACTCTAAGGCACCTTTTCCTTCAATTTCATCAAAAATATTACCAACTTATATGACAGAATACTATCAGTGCCTTAAATCAGGAAGCAAAAAGCAAATGCACAACAAGAAAAACACCATGCTGAAAAACCAACAGATCTGTAGTAGAAATAACAAAACTCGGTTGCAAAGCTGTTGCATTAAAAGACATTATTTCTTTAAAAATACAAAGAAAAGACACAAGATTGGGAAAAAAAGGAACAAAAGAACTATTAAATAGTAAAACATTTACAAAATACCAGTAGTAAGTCCTCATATACCCATAACTAAATGTAAATGGATTAAATTCTCCAATCAAACTGTATCAAAGAAACAAATTAGCTAAATGTACTTGAAAAACAAGAGACTACTTTAACCTTAGGATATGAACTGAAAATAAAAGGATAGAAACTGATGATTAAAGGATAGAAAAAACTAGTGCAGGAAATTGCTGAGCAAAGGAGAGCAATAGCAGCTATTTGTATATCAGATAAAATAAAGTTGAAGTGAAAAACTGTAGAAAGAGAAATAAGGTCACGATATTATAAAGGGGTCAAATTATCCAAAGGAAAGAACACATTTTTAAATATTTACATACCCAGCATTATAGATAATAAATATAGAGAGCATTAATAAATCTTGTAAGTAGAGCATAATACAGTAATATGGTGAGATTTCAAGATATTACTTATTAGAAGAGAACCGAATCCACTACAACACTATCCAATTGTTAACCAGCTCTCATGTCATTTTTACTGACAGAAAAAAGATATTTTGGTTCAGAATGTTTGTTATGTGTTGAAAATTATTACCAAAAATTGTTATTCAGTCATCTTTTTGTAGATATGTAACTTTCCATTTTCTTTTCAGACAAATGAGACCACTATTGAGAGTAGTGTGAGGTAGGAATTAAGATGAAGACAGTGAAGAGGATTTGATGAAATTGGAAGGAGTCATGTACATTGACATTATATTTGCAACTGGCTTAGAGAATCTCTAGAACTATAGCTTACGTGTAAAGATCCCCGGTATAGCTGCTTTTGCCTAGGTAGGAAATGAGGAGCAATATATTTACATTTTAAAATACATTTATCATATTTTAAGCTTCTAAATTATTCTTTATATGTTTATATTTCAAGGAAAATAATAAAAATGCATTAGGTTATTGCAAGCAGCATAGCAGTTTTCTATCATGAGGGATTTTAAAAAGCAGAAAAACTTTGTTTATATGTAAGGAACATTTCCGTAGGAAAAGAGTAATCACTCAGGGATTTCAGGGATTTCAATTTATTACGCTATTTTTGGGAAAAGACAAAAGAAAAGCTTTAAGGGGACTTTTGTATCCAGATTGAACCGAGTCTCCCTGGAAGCCAAGCTAACAGCATGTCTTAGGACCGTGCAGTATTTAAGCTAACAGAAGTGTGATTTAAATTTTTCAGGAATGGACAAAAGAGGTTTTCAGTTTGGCAACAAACCTGTTGGCCCAAAACATGTCCAGGGACGCATTTCTGGAAAAAGCGTAAGTCGCTATAATTTTATTGCTAAGGGTGTTGCTTCTTGTGAGTCAGCTTCCTTTCCCCTTTGTGAGGCCTTTGTTTGTGCTGCACTGGCTTCTCACATTGATAAACATAAATTTCCCTTTGGGATTTGTTAGTGAACTGATAGCTCCACTGTTGGGAATTGGACAACTTCCAAGAAAGATCGCTCTTTCCTCCAAGCTGCACATCCGTATTACGCTTGGGCTGAGTTCGCTTGAATGTCAGTGCCTCTGACACATCATAAGGAGGTACTTCCAAATCCTTGCAGCTGTGCTCAGAACTAGGAAATATTAATTTCAGAGAGTCCTCTCCTTCTGCCTCTGCCTGTGTCTTCTCAGTTGTTCGTGTGAAGATGGGAATGAACAGCATATGCTCCTCCTTCACTACAGTCAGAGATCACAGATAGATGCCACAGTAACTTCTCTGCCTTCTTAGATCAATAAGCTGATGACCTGATTTCAGCTTTTGTACATGAACACAGCAAGTATTAGTAAGGAGAAAGAAAGAGAAAGGATGTAAAGGAAAGGGCAGACAGAAAAATAGTGGAGTGAAAAGCAAAACAGATTAGCAAATCATTTTGGAATTGCAGCAGCTTTACTAATAATTATTTGACCAAGAAAAATAATAATGTATGCCAGATGAACAGCAAAGAAGGCCGGTTGTTTTCATTTTGGAAACTGTGGCCGTTCAAGAGGTCAGAAAGTCTTTAAATCAAAACCACAAGCAGAAGCACTAATAGGTGGTCCTCTGTTCTACTGAATAGTTTTCTCTTTTCCCTCTTGCTATGCAAGACATATCCCCCATTCCACACCTCACACTTCAACCACATCTCTCTTTTGCTCTTTTATGAATTCCTTTTACTTTTAGTCAGTACTCACAGGTCTTTATTTAAACTTTTTTTGTGTGTGGAATGATCTCCTCTCCTGAGTTTGTTGAAGATCCTTTCTACCAGCCTCCACCTTCTCCCTTCCTTTTTTCCAATTTGTTTTTACCTTATCTTTGGTGTTATGTATCCTTCACCCAACATTTCGAGATCATCTGTTCTTCAAGGCAATGTTAGTAGAAAGAGACAGATAAATAAGATGCTGCACCTGAAACACAGGATGCTGGCTGACTAATTATTACCTATCGCAAAAGTCTATCCAATTGGTGTCTCCCTCTGAGAGATGCTGGACATTCTAGATCATATATTTGATGGAAATGTTGTCAGAGTTTGTTTTGCATGCACAGTTATCTATGGGACTGGGTAAGCAAGGTTGCAATGGGTGCAGTTTCCCTCTTTACACACCCACTGGCAGTGGTTGAGAGTTCTGTTGCTCCACGGCCTTACCTATGTGTCCAGAACTAGCTGAAGACATAAATACAGTTGTCATATTCATAGGGTGGAAATCCATACAATAATGGTAAATAATAATTCACAGCTATAAGCTAAATAGAGATGGATCTTAAACACGTAATATTGAATGAAAGAAGCCAGACACACAGAAAAATATGACTCCATCTGTGTAAGATACAGATATGGGCAAATGTGACCTGTGCTGTGTTACAGCAGGGTAACATTGTGGCTAGACAGACTCAGCAACAGGGCATGAAAGGAGCTTCTGGGGTGCTGCCAAGTGGCACCATTCTATTTCTTGATCTGGATGCAGATTCAACAAACTACACATGACCATGGGCTCTTCTCTCTGTATTTCTTTTTTGCACAAAAGGTTCTTTAAAAAAAATTGAAATACTCATTTCTCTGCTTCCCCAACAGATACACTAAACTTAAACTGCAAGTCACTCCAGAAGGGCGCATTCCTCTGAAAAAGTAAGTTGCATGAGCCTTTCCCATTATTCATCGTCTCCTCCTTTGAGACTTGAATCTGTGCCCCAGCCTAAGTGGGAGGGTGGAAGTGCGTGGCAACCACACCCTCATTCATGCCTGTCTCTTATCAGAGCAGCTGGTTTCCTCACCGCACACCCCCCTCCCTGGGGCCCCTTTCCTGTGGCATCATTTTCAAGAAACACCAAATCAGAAAAGGGCCGGAGGGAGTAGGAGGGAACCAGTTTGCTAAATCCCCAAGCCCATCTGAGAGTCAATCTGTCCCAGGTAAGCAGATGCGGTGACTTCTTCCAAGATGGTGCTAGCCTTAAAGTGGGGCTTGCAAACGCCAGTGCCAAGAGGTGCCAACCAGGGAGTTTAAATGACACAGCAGGGCAGGAGGAAGAAGAAAACTACAGAGCAAAACCAGTCTAAGGGAGACACAGTAGAACAAGTGAGGTCCAGGCATAGTTTAATATTTCAGTAGAATCCATAAATCCAAATCATTATGTTAAATTGCTCACTTAAGTTCTGTATTTTAAAACCAAATTAGTGGCCAAAGATCATATTAGCCAAATGCCTTTAACCTTTGACTTACAAGCTACCAATGAGCTTCTATTAATAAAAACATTAAATTATTAAGATTACAACATATACCATTGGAAGAATCGTAGCAATGAGGAGAAGATTAGGAAGGTTATTGGCATAGTGTTTCCTATGAATTTATTTATTTAATAGAACAGTTTTTAATTGGATCAGAATACTACTGACTTTAGACACTGTAATATTTAAAAGGCATACACATAGAGCTTTGAAAACAGAGATGCGGGTAGATGGAGGAAGGGGCATCTTTTCATTCTTTAAAACGAGTGCTGACTAGGTTTGAGTCAATGGAATTATTTAAGTCAGCATCATCTATAGGTATTGTGATCCTTATGTCTTGTAAACATCTCTCCTTCTTCACTTCACAGCATATATCGCTTGTTCTCAGCAGACCGAAAGCGAGTTGAAACTGCATTAGAGGCTTGTAGTCTTCCATCTTCAAGGGTGAGCATGCTGCCCTACAATAATAGCACAGTGAAACAGCTCTTAATAATTCACACTAAATACACATTGCCTCAGTGTTCCCTAGATATCCTTTTATAAAATTGAGGAACCAAGGTGCTGGGGATTTGGCTCAGTGGCACAGCGCCTGCCTGGCAAGCACGAGGTCATGAGTTCGATTCCCGGTAACTGGAAAAAAAAATTAAGGAACCTATAACTTGGGTGTTAATGTTTGCAATGTATAAAACCACTGTTGTATTCCTTCATTCCTATAACCTCAGGAACCCTTGCTTTTCATAGACAAAAACATCCATAGTGGGATGCTGGGATATGGCTCAGAGGGCACAGTGGTACTTCCTTGTGAGAGAAATGGAGTTTACTCCCCAACACCACTGAAAAAAATCAGTAACAATCCAATCAGCTAACATAAAAAAAAATTATCCCCAAAGTCATCAATAGTAAGAAGGCAATTTGAAATGTGAACAATAAACCTATTTTCAACAGTTGTACCTATCTTGAACAATAGGCTTTCTTTATATCTCTCGATGTATGAGCAAATGATAGTGTGAAGCCATTATATTTAGGAAGACATTTGAAATACTAATTTCATCTGATCCTTCTAAGATTTTTGATTCCTAAGGTTTTATCAATTATATAAAAATTGCCATGATAACACATGTGTATAAATAAGTACAATATAAATTCTCTTGAAGGTCACCTACTTTGTTCACTGGTGGTAAAGTAAGTGAGAAGACAAACATGCAGGTGCCTTACAAAACCCTGACACTTAAAAAGCACTCCACATATTTTAACTATCTCAAAGAAAGTAATTTGCCTTTGTTTCAATTCATTTCCCGCTGGCTCTGAAATGAGCATGTTGCCATTGTTTCTGGGAGAACAGCATCTATCATGTAAACTCTTTTTCTCACGCTATATGTACAGGACTCCTTTCAGTCCTAAATTATTTTTAACCTAGTATGTAAGAAACAAGGAACACTTGCCTATGGACAACACTGGCTCTATAGGAAAAACACTCTAATCTCAAAACTCACTAGCAATGCTCAAGTTCCACTGAATGAAACCGCGAAGCCTCTCTTAAACTTATGCTTGAATTGTGCCTAAGTCCTGAGTGCTATTTATTAAGTTTGTCAACCAATTCTCACTGTCAATGCTTTTCAAATAAAGGGGGAAGTTTATTAACAACTTTGCTAGTTCTCAGGAAGAAAAGAGTGCCTTTCCACTATCACTTTTCCATGATAGGTAGAGCTGTTCAAAGTCTGCAAAAACACTTTTCCCATCACTCTAACATGCAAAAGAAAATGCTTGAATTTGTTTGCTGTGAGTTTCCTTAGCTGCTTCAGAGTAGGAAAGACACAACAAGGAAGGACCTGTTATTGACTCAAATTATTTCTTGAGCTCTTAATGGGAGCCCTTGGGTGTAGAAAATGTGGTAATGAACAAATTAAAGTCCAGGGTTGAAGAACCATAGAGCTTTCTGGGGGACCTAGTCAAAACAATGTCCATAAATACATTTGTAAATTTGGAGAGGTGATACTAAAACAAAAAAGACTGATATGCTGCCCTTGAGAATAAGGGAAGCTCATTCCAGGAAAAGCATACAGTATGTCAAAGCCCTGAGGCTGGGAAGAACTACCCTGTGAGAGCAACTGCAGGGAGAACACCACAAGCCAGCACAAAGGGAAAACATGAGAGCTGGGTTTGCAAAGAATTCTTTTCTTTGTGATCACTTCCAATTTTTTTTTCTGGGTAATATCTTGTGAAATACAATGATCAAAAAAAGTTTAGCTTAGTATTGTACATCTAGCAAAGGGAGAGAGGGAATAGAAAATAAAACTGAATAGAAAATAAAATCCATCAATCAATTCTCTGCAAATTGCAATTTTCTAAACAATTGAATTCCAATAATGCAGTCAAGAGTCATGAGTTGAATCTTTATAATCCACTCCATCTAGTATAGGTTCAGACTTTCAGACCAATATCAACTGAGACACTTAAAAAGGGAAATGAGATTCAAATAGCAGGAGTTATGTTTGAATTGGAAAAAAAAATATTTATTGTTAGCCAATTACATGTAATGACAATTTTCAAAAAGCAAACTGAAGATATTTTAAAAATATAATCAAACTCCTTTGTAGTTTTGAAAGATGATTATTTATACTACAGTATAATTTACATGGAAGACTTGTAGAATTAGAATGCTTTTCTAAAAGTGTAAAAACCAAATACAGTTTCAGAGCCAGGAAATAAATATTTCTATGAACTGCCCATGGCACATCAAAACTATATTTAAAATCCATGTGGTAATTTCATATTTACAGATCTATGAATAAAGGAAATAGCCACAAATTAGCAAAAAGATTCTGCGTGCATTAGTAAGAAGCATTTCAAGCATTCCAGAGAAGAAAAAGGTTATACACATGGTAGATAGTTCTTCAAAAATGGGAGCCTAGTTCACAGCCAGCCATCATTCAAACTGGATTTAATTGTATTCTGTAAATAGATACATTACCAGAAACCCAGTGGAAATCCTGTTGAAATTTTTTAAGCATTATCTTTGTGCACATTGTTAGGGATAATTAATGCACTTGAACTTGTATCCTGGCTGACACGATCCACTGGAATAACACATTCCTTTAGAGGGTACTCCTTTGGAGATTACGATTGTTAGGTTCAAGTTACTCTAATTGTCAAAAAGTAGTACTGCATCAAATGAGAGAGACAAAGCAATTACTGTCCTTCTATTAATAATCCAAACATATATTTTTAGTGAGGCCTTTGAAAACCTTTCCATATTCAGAAAATTATCACTCTGCCCACCAGCTCCCCGAGAACTGAAAACAATTTATTTGTCCCAAATTCCCTTGATTTAAGGCTTATTAACTTTGAAATGAGATCAGTGACATTGAAAACTGTTTTGTAGTATTGCTATAGCACTGCCTGTTGGCTGCATTTTAATGAAGAAAATAAGGAAGTAGTTCATGTACTTGTCTTTGCAAAGTTTATTGTTGTAGATGGACATAGATGTAACACAAAGGAAAACTCACTATTTTGGATTTAATGACCCCTTTAGATTTTACTAAGGAATACTGTTATGATTTGCATCTAAAATGTTCCCCGAAAATCTCGTGTTCAGAGGTGGAGCTTTTGGACGGTGACCAAATCATGAGTTGTCAGTTGATAAATTCATAGCTGATTCTGCTGCTTAGAAGAGGGGTCTGGGGCTGGGGATTTAGCTCAGGGGCTGGGCATTTAGCTCAGCGGCAAAAGCGCCTGCCTGGCAAGCGCAAGGTCGTGAGTTCGGTTCCCGGTACCAGAGAGAAACAAAAAAAAAAAAAAAAAAGAAAGAAGAGGGGTCTGGCGAGAAGAAAGAGGCCACTGGGGATCCGAACCAATTCAATAGGCAATGGGTACAATGTTGTGTTCATTTAGATGGTCTCATTAATTTGGCCACTGTTAAAATAGACATTCTAATTTATAGCTGGTACATAAACAATGGTTATATTTTAATAAGCATTTTGTTTTCTGACATTATGTTGAATAGACTCTTATGTAAATAACTCATTTAAATCTGATCCTTTACAGGAGAGATAATGCACAAGTCCTTACTACCAACTCCCAACATAACCAAAAACTAGGGGCTGGGGATTTAGCTCAGTGGCACAACGCCTGACTGGCAAGTGCAAGGTCATGAGTTCGATTCCCGGTACCAGAAAAAAAAACAAAAAACCAAAACAAAACATAACCAAAAACTACATTTATTCACATAGTAACTATTCAGTGTGTACCTACTATGAGCGGCAGACTGGAGTTAGAACAGTAAACCAGCAATGCACAAGTCCTAGCTTAGGTATGTCTGCAGCTTAGCAAGGAAGAAGGGAATTTAGAACTGAGTACATTTACATGAGTGCTGAACTATCAGACCAGCCACATGTGACAAGAAAGCAAAACCCAGTTGTTGATAAGGCAAAGCTTTCTAGAGGAAGAGCCTTTAAAGTGAGTAGAAAGAAAAAGAGTTTGGTAATAGAAGATAAGGATATCCTTAGATAAAAATGATTTGTGTATGTGCTGGGTGAGGTTAAGGAGAGGTAGTGTGAGTTCTATTTAGTAGAGAAAATAAGAGAATACATTTAGGATTCACAAAACCCAACAAAGTTAGATGCACTTGAGTTGGCCAGCAGCAGCATCATATACTTTTTTTTGCAATTTGTTATTATTATTATCCTTTCTGTGCTGAGGATTGATCCCAGCACCTCAAGCCTACAAGGCAAACACTACCACTGAGCAACACTCCCAGCCCTGCAATTGATTTTAAATCTTTCTTTTCATGTGGCCTACAGCCAAACACTGGGGGTAGACCAGATCATTTCTATCAACAAAATTATAGAGATGTGTCTCTAATTCAGAAAGTAGGTGACCAAAGAAATTTCTTTCTTTTTATGAGTCAGTGGAGTTTTGGAAATTTGACTACAGGTTGTACTTTTTTTTTGCTTTGCCTGTAGCAAAACATCACTGAAACCATCATGAGAATTCCTCATTGTTCTTTTATTTGATTCTTATGCTTATGATTTCAAGATTTGTTCTCAAGTAGTCTAAGTCTAACTGTATAAAACATCACCCTGTGTAAGATGATCCTTGCGATGTTTGGTTTTCTCAAAATTCTATTTTGTAATATGGATGTTTTTCCTTCTCTATAAATAGATTTAGTAAAGGAAACATTACTTCCTTCATTCGTTCCACAGATATGGGTCTCCTGCTATTTGCCAAGCAGTGACTAAGTTTTCTTATCTGTTAGCAAGGAGCACACAATTTCTCATAGTAATTCAGACAATGATTTTCAAGAATTTCTATAAAAGCCCTCTTCAAAACATAGCACTGTGGTAAAAGGAAGGGGATTTTCTTTTGTTCAAGAGCTTGGAGATAAAAATAATCATATCAGCACATACCTGAAATGGGAAAAATGCATGAAAACTGTTCTTCCTGTTAACAAAGGCTAGAATACATGCTTCCAGTTTCCATGACAGCCCAACCAAACAGATCACAGAAGCCATAAACGTGGTCTTTTATATCGATGACTTGTTTCCCAAATAACAGGACCATGAGCAATCTAAAAAATAATGACTGGTGCTGTTCTTCTTATGAAAACACAATTTATCAGATTATTGAAACCAGAAGGAATGTTGTTTGAAAAAAAGATGCAAAATTGGAAATTATGGTTTCATTTAATAATGTCTACCTTTAAGGTTTTCATTTTTTTAAAAATTTATTGAAAAACCTGATAAACACCACAGCAATGGGCAGATGCTTCCTGCCACTCTCTTACTTGTATATTTAAAAATGGTTAAAATGGTAACACTTATGTTACATATACTTTTTAATTCACTTTTTAAAAGAGAATATGCAAGTGAGGGAGGAAAAACAAGAAAGTTAAAAACTTCTGCTGCCATAGCTATCTTCCCTTTGTCTAACTTATTTTAGTAGATATAATTAGGGAATTGCTTGAGCATCCCTCTGGCAGGAGAAAATTCTAAAGTTTAAATTGAAACAAAAAGCAACAGAAAATAAGGATTTTTGACACCCCAAAGTCAATCCACATGAACTCTATAGTGGCCTCGTAGATGTGTTCTGAATGTTCACCCTGATCTCCCAGAAAAAGGAAAAGAGCGAGGCGAGTGGGAGAAAGGTAGGTAAGGATGGCAGGAAGGGAGAAAGGAAAACAAGACACTGCGGAAGGAAGCTAGGAAAAGACAAAGACCATTTGCTGACCCTGCTGTTTTATTTCCCAGAATGATTCGATACCTCAAGAAGATTTCACTCCAGATGTGTACAGAGTTTTCCTGAACAATCTTTGCCCTCGACCAGAGATTGATAACATCTTTTCCGAATTGTAAGAGCATGTGTTTTAATTCACTTTTTTTCCAGTTTGTGTGTTGATAATCAGTGAGGCTAGGGCAGTGTTTTGAGAAGGGCTGGGAGGAGATGGAGGAACATAGGCCGCCATGTTTAAAAGCAGTGTTCCTGGGCGACCTGTTGGACATCCTCACACATTCTTGGCCTTGAGGGGAAACCATTGCATTTCATGAGTAGACATTTGCTATGATTTATTTTTGGACACCCTTGCTTTAGTGTACTCAGGTGGCTTTGTGTGCTTTGAAGAATATAAATAGAACAAGGAGACATCTTTGTTTAGTGGATGAGGATTTAGGCAGCAGAAAGAGCTCTGGACTGGGAGCTATTCATGTAATCTGTCTGAACCACTTTAGAGAAATGAGAAGCTGGAATTACTAAGCACACTCCTGAATGGAAAATCATTTGCTCTTATGTAGATATTACAAACTTAAGTGAGCATTGCTTAAAAAAAAAAAAAGACTGAAGAAAAGAAAAGAAACAAACCAAAAACTCAAAACATATGTGTAGAAGTATCTGCCTTGTTTTCTTGCTATACTAAAATCCAGGTAATTGCAGAAAATCAGTCCAAAATTGGTAAACAAAACAAGGAGGAAAGCAGGCAAGCAGTGTTGCTGAGAATGACATGGTACACTGGATGTTTGTTCCTTGTGATGTTCATTGTTATGAAATATTTATTGAACATGTGCAGTACTTACCCAGTTGAACTTTGGGTTCTTAATAAAACTGAATGGGGTAGTTTGAGTCACACTTTGAGTTATATAGACCTTTATGAAAGAATAACATTAATGAAATGAAAAATGTTGTTTTCATTTATTAAACTACGAGTAACAAGTACATCTTTAAATGATTAAGTGGGACATGAGAGTTTGATGATGAAATCATAAGTTTAGTGTTATAATAAAAAAATTAATACCTGTATTCAATTTAGAGTGCATTCTTCCACATGCAGTATTCCCCTTCTATGGGTTTCCTTAAGCTTGTGATATTTTTTCATGGGTCTTGAGATTTAATGGTGGTAGTTACAAAAGACAATTAGTAGCCCATAAGGGGATAAAACTGCAGTTGAGAAGCACCATTATTTTTTCAGACGAGAAAAGAATTTTATTTCTTTTTGTTTTTTTGAGACTGGGTCTCACCATGGAGTCCAGGCTGGCTTCAAACTTGCTCTGTAGCCCAGGTTAGCCTCTAACTCCAGGCACTCCTGCTGCCATCTCAACTGCTGGGATTATAGGCATGTGCCACCACACCTGGCTTTAAGATAGGAATTTTAACACAGTGTTAAATTTTTGGGTACGATTTGATTTTATTGTTTTCCTGTTGTTATATGCATGACTGAGACTTGGTGGAAAATATTATAATTTCTTGGTTTTTCAACTGTTTTTAGTGGTGCCAAAAGCAAGCCATATCTTACTGTTGATCAGATGATGGATTTTATCAACCTTAAGCAGCGGGACCCCCGGCTAAATGAAATCCTTTATCCACCTCTGAAACAAGAGCAAGTCCAAGTATTGATTGAAAAGTATGAACCCAACAGTAGCCTTGCCAAAAAAGGTCAGTACACAGTGTTCTATACAACGGCCACAGAGTTCTTGTTTCCAGTTGGAAATGGGTCACACTCTGGTGGTTAGGATCCTTGAAGATTGTTTGGGGTCACTTTCTCTCATTTGTACGTTGGTTTTGCCTGCTGTCTGAAATCACCAGTCTGTTCACCAGAAGCAGATTTGTTTTAAGCTTTGGGATGTGATTTTTGTTTTGTATATTATGTATGTAACTTTTTTTTAGAGGTCTCATCATTTGTTCTGTTTTAGATTTACCCAGGGACTGTATTTTTCCTCCTATAGGAAATTCACTATCTTTAAGACTGCCTTTTAGGGTCCCTTTCCAGAAAGCACATTAACTCTCCAGAGGTTTTTTTCCTTAACCTCTAAAACTTCAGAGAATATTTTGAAATTCAAGTCCTCTATAGAAAAAACTTTAGTGTTAGTAGAAAAAAAAAAATTAATCCTTAACTTGATATCAGAAAGTCAGCTCTAAGTTGCTTGAAAGTTATTAAGAAATTTATGGTTTCAATTCTGGAGAAATAAATTGCCAAAATATAACCGTGAAATTTAGTTGCTGGAAGTTTTTAGTTGAATGTGACCGTGCTGTCCCCAAACAAGATCTTTGGCTGCTTTTTCTAAGTCTCGTCTGGATTGAAATATCTTCATCGAGAAAATTGGTGTGTTATAATTGATGTTATAGCAAATTGCCTAGATACTCCACTGGAAGGAAAAGAAAGTACAACTAACCAACCACTGAGAAGAAATGAGTCTCATATTAGTATGCAGGCAAATTATATAGTAATAGAAATAGCTCTAGCAAAGTCATGGTCATGGTCATGACTATGAAAGTTTATTGTAAAAATAGATTTAAAAATGTTTTATCCATTGTACATATTCTGGAATTATTCTTCCAAATAGAACATGAATGTATTTAATGAGTATAAAATGTGGTATTGTTGGGACTTCATAGATGACTTTTTAGTTTTTATTTTCGTGATCGAGCCCTTTGTTGTCGTCAGCACTGTTGTTGTTAATGTGGGAGTGAGGTCAACCAAAGCAAGCAGCTGACCCGACAGTGTCTTGGCATTGCCAAGCTTGCTCTTCCAAACCCAATTAAGTATGATGCCCTTTCGACCCTAAAGCCCTTTTTGACTGTTACTTATCATTAAGTGGAGAGCAGCTTGCTGGAGAAATTTGTCTGTGTAGCCTGCTATTTACCTTATGAAATGAAAACTTTCCCAAGAATCCCCAACACAATGTTGTGAGAAATCCTTTGTGACTTCTAAACACTATTAGCTCCAGACACGAGGAAGACAAAAAGCTTCTATGAAATCAGTGAGGCCTCTAAGGCATGGACTTTGCCCTTTGGCCCCCTGTCACGCCACACTGGTGATGGTTCATGCTTCAGCTGGTGTGTGACACCTCCGAACATCATCCACTTAGAGAGAGCAGAAAGTACAAAGGGAAAGATTGTGATAGGTTCCTATAAAACCCTAGGATCTTAGAAGAACCAGTTTTCACACTAATGAAAATTAAAAATATGTCTCCTAGTGTTTGTCACTATTATTAGTGCCATTTTGCAAGCATATAAGGTATGGATTTCACAATCACAGCAGTGTGTAAATTTTTCTCTTTTTTTGTCTTTTTGAGACAAGGTTTCACTATGCAGTTCAGGCTGGCCTTGAACTCATTTTATAGCCCAGCCTGACTTTGAACTCAAGGCAATTCTGCCTCAGCCTTCTGAGTGCTGGGATTACAGGTGTGTACAACCACATCCAGCAATAGCATGTAAAATAAAGATTGTTAAAAGACAACTTTTTTCTTGTCTAACCTTCTAAGATATTGATTATGAATCCTCTGTATCACCCTTAATCACAAAAAGAGGTGATATAGAACAGTGACAGTTTCAAAGCTGGGATTCATTTCCCTAGTAAAATGGTCTTGGTACTTAACCTCTCTGTACTTTAATTATTTCATCTTGAAAACTGAGAGAAGAATTCTTGATGGGCTTTCTGTGAATTTGAATTAAGTAATAGCTGAGAAGCATTTAGAAAGAAGAGTATCTGGCCCATTGATGGGAATGGAAACATATTAACTCTTCACTCAATGTAGTATGTTGGTTTTACTTCCTCTGATGTTTTCATCAGTTTTTTCTAGAAGTACTCAAGAGGTATAGGCCTTAGACTCTTATATTTTCCCCAGCATCCACAAGGTGCAATTCTTAATGAAACTTGTAGGTGTGAACTAATCATTGACATAAAGCACTTGTGCCCTAACCTATTACCTGAGAATGTCCACTTGTGGTCTCTGTCCAGGAAAGTTGACATTGGTGTCACTCCACTGAAAGTCTCATCTAGCACAGGTGAAGGACAGGAGCTTTGGAATCCAACACTTGGAATATGGCTAAAATGCCAAACAACTACTAGTACATGAGATGCACATTTTGTCAAGGAGGGGACTCCGGTAACAATTCTTTGGTTCTTGCTGGCTAGATCTGTCATCCCTTCCTCTCTGCATCTTATGTGGAAGAAATTCTTGTCTCCAGCAGCCAACTCAACAAAGTACAAAAGGCCTAAGTAGGCCACCTTCAGCTTCAAGGCATGTACACACAAAGGGGTTCATGATAAATGCCTTGTTGTAAGGATAAAGTGAGGTTATGTATGTTAATGTTTAGTTCACCATTCAATCATCATCTCATAAGTGTCACAAATTGCTATTATTATTATTATTATTATTATTATTATTGATACCAGGAATAGAACTCAGGATCTTGCACTTGCCAGGCAGGTGCTGCACCCCTGAGTTATATTCTGGGCCCCATTAAATTATTATTGTCATTTTTTAAACCAGGCCAGTATAGTTCTGGAGAAAGCACATAATTTCTGATGTTCAGACTCAAACCTACAAGCAAATCTGCATTCATTTATTCAAATTTGGTGTTCAATAAATTGTTAGTGAAAGGCAAGAAGCAGTGGCCTGTGACAGATTCAAAGACAAAGCCTGTGCTTCTTGAGGCTTGCACCCTTTTCCAAAAAATAAGACATGAAAATAAAGAACTGTCTCTTCTCAGATTCCAATGTATACAGCAATCACCTGAGACCTAGTTAAAATGCATTTTCTGAATTCTGCATTTCTAAGAAGTGACTGGCAGTGTTGATACTGATGGGCCAGGGACCACACTGAGTCCAGCCAGGCTATGAGAGATACAGGCAGTGTGCAGTGAGTAGGAAGGAGGAGAGATGTTGTCTGAGTTACTTTGTTATCTCTGAGGCACAGTAATTGACACCCACAAGTTAAACCAAGTTAAAGGTTTATTTTGACTCAAAGTTTGTAGAGGTTTCAGTTCATAGTTGGCTCAGTCCAAGGCCAGGTGGTATGGCAGAGAGGTATGGCAGAAGAGAAACAGTTCATGGCTTGCCAGGAAAAAGCTGACAGGAATCAAGGGGGGAGGAGGGACCTATCCTCTTCCCGGCCACACTCAGAGTGACCCACCTCTTCCCACCAGACTTCACCTCCTCACATCACACCCACCCTTCAGTGGATTAATCCAATGATGAGCATCACATACCCATGATCCAAATACCCCCCCCAATGCCCCACCCATGAGCACATGAAGCTTTGGGGGAACATCTAGATATAAAGCATAACAGATGTCTTCCTCTAGGGAAGGTTCAAGGAAAAGATAATATTCATGCTGAATTGAATTCAACAGGGATGAATTAGAGATTATTTGGGGACAGAGGATAGCATTCACTCCTTCATTCAACAAATGTTTCTTAAGAAGTTACATGTTAAGTAGCAAGAAAATTTAAGACACAATCTTGAAGATTCACAAGGTAAATCAAAAGAGATCTAAGGAAAGACAACTACATTTAGAATCAAAATGAAGACAATTTTTTTTCTAAGTTTTCCATTCATTATCCAGAATAAATATCATTTTTCAGTATAAGCAAACCTTATTTCTTATCCAAAAATGCAAGTAAGGAAATGACGTTGAACTTATGTTACCTCATACCCAGTTAACTTGTTTACTGCTTTTGCTCTAATTATATGAACAAAGAAGAGTAGAGAAAATTGTTTTCTTATATTCTTATTTCATAATCAAAAGGATAATGATTTTGAAATTTATTTTTAGGACTAAGAAATTACTGGGTTAGGTCATAATTCTTTAGTAAGGATTTGAAATTTATTTTTCTAAGATAAATTTGATTTTTCTCATAACATATGATACTTGGCTTTAGGATTCTTTTCAGGCACTCCTTTGGTGCCTTTTTTATTCATGAGGTAACTATGAGTAAACTTCAACAAAGCATAATTTGAGGAAGTTTTTTTATGAGCTTAATATGATGACTGGTATGGATCTGCAAGGAAATAGGCTTCATTCACTATGGGAGAATATTTTCTTGTTACTGTGAATCAAACTCAGGACCTTGTGCTTGCCAGGCAGGCGCTGTGCAGCTGAGCTATATCCCTGACCCACTATGGGGCTTAAAAATGCATATTAACATTTTACAAAGTGGCCAAGCAAGTCTTCGAGTTTAAATAATTTACCTAAGATTTGATACCAACATCCTAGTCAAGAAACAGAGTATTTAACCTTCAGTCATTGATTAGTATATTTTGATCAATAAACTCATACTGAAACAATAGGAAAACTTAACATCACATTATATCTTTTTCTTCTGCTGCCTCAATTTCACCTAGTTCTTCAAGTGTGCCCAAGCATGAATTACATTGATGTTGATCTCAGTACTGGCTGATCCATAAACACAGTCTCATTTATCTGGGAAGAATACTTCTTTATTGCCTAGTGTTATGGTTGAAACATTGTGTCAACTTGGGGAGTCTAGAGGTTTGGCTAAGTGACTCAGCAGGAAGCCAGGATACTTACTTTGTATACATCCTGAGCCTGTGAAAGAGGAGGGCAAAGATTATGTGAGAGCTACACCCCCCTTAGGTGGGGGTAGCCTGTTTACAAAGTAAGGCAGGGAAAAAAGAAGCT